CCCCACCCCCCGCCTGCCCTCTACCTCAGCCAATCATGTCGAGTAAACAAAGCCTCCCGTTCCCCACCGACTTCATTTTAGAGCGGAACCGTTATGCATATAGGCTCACTCACTGCCTGTCAACTAAGTGTGAGAAAATATTTTAAGTACTCAAAATGGACTCAGCGGGACTAAAAACTTGATGTGTGCAAATACACAAGGCTCGAAAACTTTTGTAGTTTGCACTGCTGTCCGGCATGTAAGTGTGCGGGTGGGTCTCCTACTGGGGGGCCTTAGAGACGGCGGTCACACCAATTCACACGCCCGTAAGTGGCACATTATAGCAACAAGATCTCGAACAAGATGCAGCGGGGTATCTCTAGAGCCTAGTATCCCCGTACAACGTGTTTGTGCTCCGCACAATTGGGAGTGAAAGTAAAACTTTTTTGTTTGTTTGGCCATTGTCAAATAAATAATAGATAACTCCACCCAAATTAGCTTTTACCCTCTCTTTCACCCCTCTATATTTTTTATTTTACTTGTGAGAAACTGGAGGAACAACACTGATAAACGAAGCGTTCAACTGCAAGTCGAATACTTGAAAATATGTTCAACTGTGTAGTAGAACACGTACAAAGTGTTCAACTCGGTAGTTGTGCACTTTTAAGTGTGCAACTACGCCGCTTAACAGAAGAGTTGAACGCTTACAAGTCCAGGGCTAAACAGTTACACACTTTCAGGTGCACAACTACAGAGTTGAACACTTGCAATAGTATTCAACTTGAAGTTACACACTTACAAGTGCAATGCAATGGAACACTTGGTCAATCAGTGAAGAGAGAAAGGCGGAGAAAGGTGACCGCGCGCGTCCATATGTCGGGGGTCACTTGAGGAGAGGTGGAACACGCGAAGAAGTTTTAAAGCCAGTGCGCCGATTGTCAGGGAGGAAAATACGGACAACATTTTCCTATCATGAGCAAACGTTAGATTTTTTTTAAAAAATCGATGAAACAAACTTAAAACACGCCCAAAAGACTGAAACGACTAAAAAGCACCTGATAGAAAATAACCTAAAATAGCCAGTGTGATAATAACATATTTCATTACTTAAATTTGGTGGAGCGTTTTGGGAGGTATGCCGGAGGGGGAACCCACCCTAAAATTGATCCCGAACAAGCCGAAACAAAGCAACAAGCGTCCGACCACAGGCGGAAGACCGGAGCCGGGGGCGTCAACACACGAAACGGGGAGAGACAACAAACAAACACCGTTATGGGCCGAGCAGGACGAGCGGGCTCATGGTGCACAGGGGCGCGGGGGCCCGCGGGCGTGCTCGGCGGGGCGGGCGCACCACCATATGGTCCGGCGGCGTGCCTGCAGGCGTGCCTCCTACAGGCGGGCGCGCTCCCCCTCCCCACCCTCGACGGCGACGCGCCCCCGCCGCGGCCCCGAGCACGAGCACAGAGCGCGGGGTCAGGGGTGGGCAGTGGCGGCGGCGGCCTTCAGAGGCGGGGTCAACGACGACGGGCGTGATGATGTTGACGGGCGTGAGCACGGCGGGCGTGGCGCGCGGCAACAGCGGGGGCGCAGCGGGCTCCGAGGTGGGCGAGGCACTACAGGGGCTGCAGAGAGCGGCCCCGGCCAGGGGTGGCGCCAGCATCGCCAGCACTGCGTCAGCCACCCCCACTCTAGCGCAGCCTCCCTGTTTGGTCCGGGGGGTGGAAGTAGGGCAAACACAGGGAGGAGGGGTGTGCTGGACTGGACTTGTTGCTCCGGCTGTGATGCCCTACAGGGTGAAGAGGAGAGGGGGTGGAAGAAAGGGGCGCACCGCACGTCTCCGCGTGAGCAGCTAGTCAAGCAAGCCATTGCGAGAGTGGGTACGGGCTCAGTCTGGTCGGCTGCAAGGGACCGTGCACCAATTACGTCCTTTTGAGATGTAGGGTCCTTTTTTTCACGGCCACTATTCGTGGTCTGGGTTCAAAACGGCACTGTGATACAGTTTAGTTACCTCACCCCCCCAAAAAAATACCTACGGGGACACAATTACCACGGCTTCCAAAACACTTCCGTTTTCAAACGCTGAGTTCCAATATGGCGCCGTGATAAAAGTACCTCACCCGTCGAAAATGACGCAAATTAAGCACACGACCCCCCCAACCTCAGACGAAAGGGAAGGTCGTGGCGACACTTGCGACCAACTTGTTGGTTCATGACGCGGTATTGTAAAATCCGCTCATTACAGCATTTGCGCGTTAGTTCGAGGCGCGGGCTGAGTGTGTGAGCGCGTGCGTGCGTGTAATTATAGTGGGTGATAGAGTACAGGCGGCGGAGATGGGAGAG